GCACGCTTCAAAGGTACTCCTACCAACCTCACCGTGATAGCAGTCTACGCCCCCACTCTACCATCCGACAGCTTAGCGAAGGACGAGTTTTACGACAGGCTTCAGGAGGTAGTAAATCGCATCCCCAAGAGAGATGTACTTATCGTTGCGGGAGACTGGGATGCTCGAACAGGTGAACAAGAACCTTCAACTAAACATATAATTGGGAAATTTGGATTAGGCCATCTTTGCGGAAACGGTAACAGGCTAATTAATTTCCCCGATTTCAACGGGCTCTTTATAACCAACACGTGTTTTCAGCACCCCAGGAAACATCTTGCCTGGTACTCCAACGACAGTATAACATCCCACCAGATCGACTATATCTTGATAAGGTCACACTGGGTCTTATCAATAGAAGACTAGATCGTATCGCGGTGCCGAAGCGGGCAACAGAGGTGGCTCTGATCACATGCTGGTTCGTGCGAAACTTCGCCTTCGGCTGACTACTCGTGTTAGGACCAACCCTCCAAGTCGCATCAATGTAGGCCCATTAGAGTGTTGCGAGAAATCAAAAACACCGATAGATGAAATTAAAATCCGACTGGCAAATGAGTCTACCGCATCGGTCATCGTAGTAGACTCCACTGATGTGCAGTGGTCCAGGATAAAAGCAGCAGTAAACCACGAAACAAAAATTGGATATCAGAGGAAACAATCCGTCACTCAACCCTGACCAGGAACGCCCATCTAGATGGTCACCACGATTACCAGCGACTCAGACGGGAAGCAACCCGCTCCGCAAAAGCAGATCGGCACAACTACTGGAACGAAGTAGCGATCAAGATGGAAACCGCAGCCAGTGCATGTCACTTCGGATATCTCTTTCGCTTCATAAGATCAGCTTCCGGTAGAAGGCAATCTTTACAACCCGTACTGCGCGACTCCTCCGGGGATTGATCTCCGATATCGACGGTAGAATGACCAGATGGGTAGATCATTTTGGTCGACTTCTCAGTCATCCGCTGGGCAATTCGGCGGATATTCATCCTGATATGGCGTCCACATGAGGTCGACTGTGATCCCTCAACAATAGAAGAAATAGCCGCGGTGATCGGTCGCTTGAATTCTGGCAAGGTCCCTGGTGAAGACGAAATCCCGGCAGAAATATATAAGAAATACCTTCCGGTGGTCATCAAACCGTTTCACTCTCTCTTTCGCTCTATTTGGGAGACCAAAACGTGTCCAACTGATTGGAACACCTCGGTTTTGCTTCCATTCCCCAGGAGGGGCGACAAGACACTATGCGAGAACTATCGGGGCATCAGTATACCGGATGTGGCTGCAAAAGCTTTTGCCCAGCTTGTGCTTAATCGGTTTGCTACAGTGAGGCATGCACGTACGCGGCCAAACCAAGGAGACTTCCAACCCGGCAAAGGATGTATCGATCAGATTTTCATCCTAAGGCAAATTCCGGAACACCGATACAAGTTTCAGCGCCCCACCGCTACATGTTTCATTGACTTTCGCACCGCATTCGATTCAGTGGACCGGGAGTCATTGTGGAAGATAATGCTTGCAGATAGCATCTCTGCACAGTTGATCAATATGGTGAAATCGTATTACAGCCAAACCAAAGCCCGTATCCGTGCCTACGACGAAGAGTTTTATCCNAGGATACCCGCTATCTCCAGTGTTGTTCAACTTCGCCGTTGATTGAATTCTACGTCGGGCACTGGGAGGTTACCAAGGCGTCCAAGGTTCCGCGGATTGCTGGATTACTGACCTCGAATTCGCCGATAACGTGATAGTGCTTGGAGATGACCTGACCGCCTTGCAAACTGCTCCGAACTGTATCAAAAGATTTGCCACTGAGATTGGCCTTGAGAATAATCCCAACAAAACCAAGATGTTCGCTACTTCACCTGATCAAGCGAAAAATCCTCTGCAACTGGATGGTCGGACAATAGAAATCGTATAGGACTTCAAGTACCTTGAGTCCACCATCCTGCCCAATGGACAAGCCAAAGATGATGTAAAGCGGCATAGCGACACGGCCCGAACGGCGTTTTTGCAGCTCCGAACCGCTCCCAAAACCAAGTTCAGGGTTTTTTTTCCACAGCCGTTCGACCAGTTCTACTATACGGCTGCGAAACCTGGCCGCTGAGAGCTGAGGACATCCGAGGTTGGAGATCTTCGATGCATCCTGAAAGTAAACTGGCGGGACAGGGTCTCAGACTCGGACCTCAGAAATAGATGCCACGTTGACCGTCCCTCAATACATACAACGCCGCCGACTACAATGGTTGGGCCATGTCGCATACCCGACGACAATTTTACAAGTCTTGTCTTGCTTCCGACACCATGTTCTGGCTGGAACCGCCGACAACGGGGGCAGTTAAAAACCTGGCTGGACACTGTTTTCGAAGACGTCGACGAACTTGGCCTTCGGATGGTGTACGGCACTCGCCGGTGGAAAACAAACTGAATTAACGTTTGCAAAGATCTTGCAGTCAACCGCCAAGCATGGATAGCAGCCATCAGATACATTCATGGAGCCGGCTTATCCTTTCCAAGGAGTCAGCCGTAGTAAAGTAAGATTCGTACGTCTCTTTTTGGTTGGTTTTGAATGGTTCACTGACTCGTCTATAACGCTGGCAGTTGACTTTTCGTTCTCATGTTGGTGGTTAAGCACCTCTGCCGCCTTCGAACAGTAACTGTACCTTCCTCGTTAGAAACTAAGATAGCGGTACTTTTCGAAGTGTCACTGAGGGATGATCACGACAACACCATACTGGGCTATTCGGAGGATGTCATAAAATTAATGGTTTTCAGCCTGATGTCTTGGAGAGAGACACTTCCGAACTGCAATAGTGACAAAATAACAACTGGCAGTTGACTGTATAAAGGCTAGATACATAGCAAACTCAAATAAAATAGCCAACCAGTTCTCAGTGGACCCCGTTTGTAACCAAATCCGTTATGTTTTGTTAGGATTATGGTGGTTCACGAAGCCGACTTATCCTCTAGCAGCAGTTGGTCGAATGACGGTAAGCAGTAACTAATAATTGGGCTACCTGGAATCCAATTGGTTTAGATTTAACGCTCATATCTTCCTCTACCTTGCATTGGATTATGAAAGCTTTTCACTGTTATAAATAATGTTTCATGTTGACAACTGGTTCACCAGAATAATTTGTTTTCTTTCTGGATTCCATTTTCTACTTTGTGGTGGCGCAGTGGTTTGGTCGCTAACACCGGCGTGCTTTGGATCTCATGGTCCGAACCCCGCCACCCAACTTGAGTAGTAGACAGCTTTACTGTCGTCCGGTTCTATACCACGCCTAACCTAGTGGAGCCCTATGTGGCTCGCCACTTCAAGTCCCGGGGTTAGGTTACCGGTTTCCTTCACTGAACAACAGGTCCTCGTAACTATGGGATTTTCCCCTCTGCTGTTCATCATACGAAAGTGTGTAATAAAAAAAACACTTTATACCATGAATTAAACTGAGAAACAGGTCAATTCTTGGGGATCGTCATCGTCGGTAGCAGCATGTTCATGTGTTGGTCATCATGCGCTTTTTGAATGACATGTCTTCAGTTTAAAATGATGAAAGAAACCTAATTCATCGCCTTCGAACAGTTTCTTCAGTTATGCAACCAGTGGTTGATATTATAATTTACAGTGCAGCAATATTCACAATCTCGGCTCCAATTAAATGTGAAACCTTTCTCCAATGTACTGCATGCATGTACTCGTTATTTCAGCTCATTTACAATGGTTCGTTATTGGCGACATCGTGGCAAAGAAATTTTCAAGCGTCTAGAACCGCACGTAGAAAAGTATTTCCCTTATCACAAACCGGAATTGGATCGAGTCTCGCCATCTGCGGCCATGTACTCTGGCGCCAAAGTAAAACCCCCGTTTGATATGGCACTGGGACAAATAGTCCCATTTGGTCAGTCTCTCCGAGCTTCTCGACCGCACATCGTGAAAGTACGAATTCATAAGCTGTGTTTGAATCGATTTCTTCTCAAGGTATGCCGCGTCATATTGATAAACTATCCTACTGCTTTTTTTCTTCTTGCAGTACTATTACCAGACTGCCACTTATTGGGCCCATGATCAGGACATAAAAACAAATATAGGCGACATGGTTCTGGTGGAGAAAACCAACCAACCGATCGCATTTCACACGATGTATAAATTGAAAAAAATAGTCTATCCCATAGGTCAGATTCGGGATCCTGTAACCGGTTTGTTGTGCGAAGGGCCCGAATACACAGTGGATCAGTTGACCCAGTTACTCCAATCCAATTTGTCTACGGATGCAAAAGAGGATTCCGATAAACGGCCGGACGGAAAATGATGTTCACTCCCCATGTTCGATCAGAATTCTGTATATATTAAATGCGGTTGGACCATAGATCATTAGAATTGCTTACAGTGAACGTTTTTGGTATTCCTTCGATTTGTGAATGCTGTCCGCCAGTTCATCTAAGTCTGTACGGTCATCAATTAGTTCAACTATCTAAATATCGGATGGTTTTTTATTCCAACCAGATGATCAAAGAAAGAACGTAATGCGATATCAAAGCTATGGTGCAGTTGCTCGTGCAGACATCTTTATCCACGTTTAATTCAAAACAAGCTCAACATCAGTCGCAGTGGGAAAGAAATCCCCGAAACTGATCTCGCTTCGAATAGCGGTAAAAATTGATGATGATCATGATCATACTTCGAATGTCACTCAAAAGTCTCGTCAGAGGTCATCTAAAGATGATAAAGCCATGCGTGTATGGGATTAAGGGAAACACGGTAAGAAAGAACCTAGCCACGACGAATAGCAGTGAAATCCTTTTCCAGATTAAAAAGGTTATAGTAAGAAAACTGTGCTGGCGGACATAAGCAAAGAAATTATTGAATGTTAAATTCAACTCGCGAATCTGGAGGGATTGATGATATAACTTCTAAACACCGATTTTTATCCAAGGCAAGTCAAGAAAAGCTTTATGCACCCAAAGGGTAAACTTTCGGCAGTTTACGATTTTTACAATGGGTAGGTAAAACAGTTGCAAACAAAAAAGACAATATTAGAAATTCTACACTTAAATAAATAAGAGAAAAGTTAGGACAAGAGTTTTTCCCTGAGGTGGATGAGAATGTTCTGACGATTTACTAGTAAACGAGCTAAATACGGAATTACACTGTTCCGATATGTGGAAATCCGCGCAGGAAGCAGTTGATATTTGGAGCGTGTCCGGGGATTTGACAGGGCTTTCGCGATATCGTGGTGCAGACTGCTCTTGATCACGTGTCATCCTGTCAATGAATGTATCCCAAGCGTCAAAATGCTTAGAAATAAAGAAATCAACTAAAACAACTCTACTGTAACGGGACAAAAGTTTAATGGATCTTGAAAATAAAGATAATTTTTTTCTTTCAGTCCAGGGATAAAAATTGGGGAGCAGTATAGCCGGTGTGGAAGAATGCAGCAGTCACAAATTTAAGAATAAGATTTTGTGATGCGGCCAGTTTCCTGAGCCTGTGAGCATAGAAGGACATCGAACTTTTGTGAAAACGTTGATGACATGAGCAGCCCAGGATAGGTTATGGGTAAGGGTGACACCAAGGTATTTAACATAAACAGATTTGGGAATGCGTTGATTGTTAATTCTAAGATCAGGGAGATTATCAACTAATGCAAGATAATGAGGACCGGTTTTAAGACTAAATGGAACTTCAGTGCACTTGCTGATGTTAAGTACAAAGGATCGGATCACAGACCAGTCTTGAAGTTCATTAAGACTGTCCTGGAGAGGTCGAAAACTGTCTGAAATAGGGGCTGTACAACCGATCACAATATCATCAGCATACTTACAAGCAATAAAGTTCGTGGGAATGGGCAGATTTTGTATACACATAGAAAACAAAGGGGACAAAATGGCACCCTGAAAAACACCGGCTTCAATGTTAATAGAAGAAGATTGTACACCATTGAGTGAAGTAAACTGAGTCCTATCGGAGAAGTAGCTGATTAGTACATTCAAGACTTCAGGAGTTAGACCACACTCAGAAAGACGATCAATAAGCACACTTCGGTCGAGAGAACTAAAAGCATTTGTATGATCAAGAAACGTTAAACGAGTGGTACCAGTGCCATTGTCTAAGACGAAAGCAACAGAATGAACAATATGTGAAACGGCGTCAAGTGTGGATAAATGGGGTTTATAAGCAAATTGTAAAGGGTCATGGGAGTTACACTGGGCTATCATGCGGTGCAGCAAAACATTTTCAAAAGCCTTCAGCAACACATGTGCAGGCAATAGGATGGTACTTTGACGATCCTCTCTTTGAGATTGGTCTGATCCGGGCTGACCTCCAGCAGTCAGGGATCGTTCCAAATTACAAAAAGGTACTGAAAAATTCGGCAATGGGTGTCGCAGGATTTCAGCAACTGAGGTGCTAATCGATAGGGACCATGAGCTTTACTGGCCTTGAGTCTCCTCAAAACTTGGAGAACCTCGTCCGGAGACACAGGGTTTATTGCATCATGGGTAGGAAAAGGAGGTGGAAGGGAGCT